AGGGGGGGGGGGGGGGTACGCGGCAGAAAAATGGGGGTACCCCCATTATCGGATATTCGGCCGTGCCCCCTGGCGCTGAGCGAAACAAGTTTCCTGAAGAGCGGGGTCGACTGTATGCCCAAGGGCGGGGGGCTTGGTAGTGATGGGGGAGATGAAGACTTTGTGCGAAAAAGAGACTTATACGGCCCGATTGGTTTCTGTTAGCCGTGACGCGAAGTGTTGGTTAACTCGGGAAGGTTTTTTTTTTTTTTTCTCCCATCATTGGACTCTGTCGTCTGCCCCTCTGGCCCCTATCCTCCACTTCTACTAGCTAGACGACCCAACCGGGGTCACATAGGAGGGGGGGCTGGACCCCATCCTGCGGTTGCTGCCTGAGGTATTTTTATCGCGAGAAGGGTACAGCAATCCCTTCCCTCGCTACTTACGAAGTCGATTATGGTTTACGAACAACGAGCTTTGCAGCGCGTCGCTTTCATCCTAGACCAGGATTTATTTCGTGAGAAAAAAACTCACTCTGCCGGGACTCGAACCCATGGCATGTAGCGGAGGGGATGTGATGATGTTTCGGCACGGGTTGACCAATAGGCGGCGCGTTTGTCGCGGGTACTTGAACCCACTCGCGAGCACGCGTCCGCGCTGCTGCAACGCCGCGGTCCTGTTTTCAAGGCCGCAGTCTGATCCCCTCTCCCACACGCCCGGTGGTGGTTGTGCGGGGCACCTTAGTGTAGCGTCGGCTGAACGGTTTTGTGTCGGCTGTGCAGCACCTAATGTAATAGTAGCCGCAGATTGTGTGTGCGGGTTGAGCAGCAACTTATGTAACGTTGGCTGCAAGGTTTTTTGTGTAGGCAACTTGTTAAACGGTAGCTGCAATATTGTGCTGATCACCCGTCCCGAGCAACGGCTGCAGGTTCGAAGGCCCCGGGGGTTGGGGGTGGGCAGGTGGGGACGGGGTTTCACAACAAAAATTCTTTGTTCACTTGTTATGTCACAGACGAGGATAAGTGATGTCCCCAGTTCGCCTCCATTGGTTCGTATTCAGTGATGTTCCTACAGAAATCAACGTATGCAAAATTGATCCGTATCTCGGCGGCTTTTTTGCGTTTTCGTCGTCTGTTTTTTGTCTGTTGGTTGGTAGATTCGGGCGCAAGCACACGAAGAGCAGACCACTGTAAAATCGAGGATACTTGTCGTCGTCGTCCCCCCCCCCCATATGTTGTAAAACAAGCCAATGCACTTCGTGAGCTCGGCAACCAGGTTACCGTTGTTTTTTTCATCTCCGATTTTTTGTTTGGCGGTAACCATAATGGTGGTCGAGTAGGTCATGTTGTGTGGGGTCGAGAAGCCTCACTCCGCGCAAGGGGGATGGTCGCACCACGTTGTGTTAAAGTGGTCACGCACCCTCGAGGCAGTTACACAGTGCTTACAACTGTCTCTGGAAGTGAAAACACCAGAAAATATATTTAGTCATACGCAGCTGTCATCCGTACGCAAGGAAGTAAGCACAAGATGCCGAACACCCTTAGCAGGATGCAGCGCACCCTTCATGCGACTAGCCGAATACCTCACGGCGCTTCGCGCTTGGTGATGTGAGGGCCTGGTGCGGTGAGAACCCGGCGTGTTCCGTCCCGGG